CTGCAAACAGCCATCAGCCCGTCATCCAGGCTGGCCAGGCACACCAGTGGGGACCCCGACCCTGATCCTGGACACCCTTCAGAGCAAACCAGCCGGCCCTCTCCCATGCACCAGGCCTCAATCCTGTATAGTAAAAAGGTAATATGCAAACTGACCCTAACAGCAGAAAGACTGGGAATGACTGGTCACTCTGACACACACTGACCACCAGGGGGCAGATGCTCAATGCAGGAGCTGCCCTCTGGTGGTCAGTGCACTCTCACAGGGGGGAGCTCTGCTCAGCCACAAGCCAGGCTGACGGCTGCAAGTACAGCGGTGGTGGTGGGAGCCACTCCTGCCTCCTCAGCAGCACTAAGGATGTCGGACTGCAGCTTAGGCCTGCTCCCCGCTGGCAAGTGGACATCCCCCGAGGGCTGCCAGGCTGCCAGAGGGATGTCTGATTGCCATCTTAGACCCAATCTCCCGGGGAGCAGGCCTAAGCCAGCAAGTGGTCACCCCCGAGGGGTCCCAGACTGCAAAAGGGCACAGGCTGGACTGAGGGACCCCCTAACCCCGAGTGCACAAATTTTTGTGCACTGGGCCTCTAGTATATATATTAAACCTTAATATGCAAATACACCAAACAGCAGGACAACTGAACAATCGGTCGCTATGACGTGCACTGACTACCAGGGGGCACACACAGAACATGGCAGGCGTCGGCAGCAGGTGACAGAGCACGGAACATGGCAGGCGTCGGCCATGGTGGGATGGTGGAGCAGGTGAGCAGGGGCGGCAGACCAAGGCGGGGCACTGATCACTGTCATCAGGGTGAGCCTCTGGTGGTTACTGAAAATTCTTTGCTCCAAAGCACCGCGGTCGCACCCAGCTCTCGCACCTGCTGCTGGCACCCAGCGCCAGCCCTGATTGCTCAGTGCTGTCAGCGGATGCGAGTGGTGACTGCTGGCCCCGATCGCCCCTGAGGGCTTCTCCACCTCCCCCTGCACCTGAGGGGCAATCAGGGCAGCAGCCACCTCTTGCACCTGCTGTTGGTGCAGGCCCTAATCGCTCCACACAGTCAGCGGATGCAAGCGGGGTCAGCACCATCAGCTCATGGGAGTGGAGGCAGAGGGAGTGGGGCTGCAGTGGGAGGGGCCAGGCAGGGGTGCAGAGGATGGGCCAACACCCGCCCCTGTGCCCACCATAGTTCTTTTCAAGGTACACAAATTCGTGCCCTGGGTCCCTAGTTTCCATAGAATAGACATCCCCTACTGAAGATGAGCTCACAACAACAAAATAATTACATATTCCATGAGGAAATAAGCCATCATGAGAAAGATCAGGAACCCCAACAAACAGGAAAACTGGTCCCCAAGAACTAGAAATAATAGGGAAATCTAAAAGGGGCTATCAGTGCGTTGTAGATTTAAAAGATAATAGAAACCATAATGAAACAAGAAAACATTATGAAAGCAGATTTTCTTAAATAATAAAATTAAACATTTTAAAATAAAAACATATATCCATTGAAATTAAAAACTTTGACCAGTTTAAACAAATCAAGAGAAAATCATTCCAATATTTTCTTTGTATATTGGCATTATATAGTGTGGTACATTTTTAACCCCACTTTACAAATTTTTATAGGATTATTTTTTTCAGGTTGCTTTTTCTGCTGGTGTTAATACCTTTCTAAAGTCACATGTTTTACCCCTTTTGAAATTAACTGTAGTCCCCATTGTATTGACCAGGGAGACTCCAAATGCAAATACCACTTCTGTTTATTCCGGAATTGGCAGGTGTAAAACATGAAGCATGGGCCAGTTAGGTGAAGAACAGACTCAGTTCTTTGTAGTCACAAGAAAATGCACCCCAGCCGTTCTGTCTTGCTTTTTAATTTGTTCCTTTTCTCTGGTCTAAAGAATTAGGACCACAGGTAGCCACGTGCACCACGACCACCATTCCTCACCACTGTGACCATTCCCCTGGGTAACACAAAACATTTCATAGGCCGGTCCCAGTCCCTAATAACAAAAGAAACACACATGGCAGATCATGATAATGATTTTGTCTTTCTATAATGATGGGGGCGGGGGGGGGGGGGGAACTACCAAAACCTGAGCCTGCATAATAATCGCTTTGTTATTCACATTTCCTCATGAATTTTAATGTACCATCCATTTTCCCACAACTTATCCCCACAATTCTGTGTGAGCCTTTGCAGAATATTATTCTCTTATCTCTTTCTTTCTTTCAAGGGTGTAATTATTCAATCTAAACCAAAAGGCTTTAGGATGTTGCCTTTTTTTCCTGTATTGGCCAGAAGAGCTGGTCTAGGTCCACACTAAATAACCTAGAAAGATCAAGCTGGGCACTCACGATTTCTGCACTGTTTCCTATATATATGTTACTTAATTTTAAAGTTTACTTTGTAATAATTATCTGGAACACCAAGCAATCTTAAGTTTGTGCCTTTTTAAAGAAATCACAATTAGTTGCATTTGTGAAGGTACATGATTTTGTCCTGTGTTCTAAAAGTTAGGGAAGCATTTGCAATATATCTCCTTCCTATTCCTCTTTGGAAAGCATAATTGAATTGAAATTCAGTCCCCTATGATTACATAAAATTAGGCCAGATTTTAGGTGTTTAAGGACACAAACTGCCTTACTTATCTTTGTATTCTATGAAGTATCTAGTTGAAGGACTTCCAAATAGAAGACCCTCATAAATATCTGCTTAATAAATAAAAAGTATCTTTTGAAGAAAACAAAATGGTGGTTGCCAGGTCTGGGGGTGGAAGGATGGACTTGCCTGCAGAAGGGGTGTCAGAGAACTTTTTACAGTCCTGTTAATATTCTACAGTTTGTGGTGGTGATTACACACACAGCTGAATGTATTTATCACTGAAAATGGATTCACTTTATCATATGTAAACTAGAGGCCCAGCACACAAAATCATGCAGGTAGGGTCCCTAGGCCTAGTCTGCGATCAGGGCCCTCTTCTGCCCATTCGCCAGTCCCCAGGCCGAACCTCCGCTGCCCGGGCAGGTAAATCGCAGGCATGCCCTGCAGCTTCTGTCAGCCCAGCAGCAGCTGCAGTGGTGCCCGCATGAGTGGCCCCCAGCGGGCAGCGGGTTCCATCAGCCGCTGGCCTGGCGCACGCACCTGGAGGTGAAATCACCGGCACCCGCTTTCCTGCCAGCCTGAGCCCCCAAGCAGCCGGGGAAGAGCTGGGGATCCCAATGGCCTGACAGCCAGCCGGGTCCTCCTGCCACCCACCCTGGTTCCCCCGTTCACCATCGCTGATCCATCTGATCCATCGGACCCTGCAGGCCAGGGTGGGGGGGGGAGGAGGGGGAGGGACCAAGAGGTCAGTCTGTCCGCCTGCTCACCAGTCCCCAGTCCCGCCCCGCTGCCACCCACCCGCTTCCCTATGGTTCCCCGTTTGCCTGCGGCCAGGGATGGGGGGTGGAGGGGGGGGTTGGACTGAGAGGTGGTCAATGCACCTCATGGAGACTGGTCGATCGGTCGTTCCGGTCATTAAGCTTATGGTCCCTGGCCTTTTATTATATAGGATTACCTCAAGAAAGCTGATTAAAGAAAAGATCTTATATTATCATGATTTCCTTATAGGAAATAACTAATAAAAAATGCTGTTAACAAATAAGTAGCACATTTTTTGACATAATCAAAAAACATGGTTTTCAATTAACCTTGAAAATTCCTAATTTCTTGATGGACGATCATCAATTTATTAAATACTACCATATGTCTGGTCCTATACTAGTTGATGTATGTTATTTTTAAAATTCCTGCACCAATAAGTACTGTCAAATAAGAATTTTGATTCCTAAATGCTGTACAATGAGGCTCAGAACGATTAGGAAAACTTGCCCAAAACCATATTACTTTAAAAAAATATCAGTGCATACATAAATATAGTTCCAACGAGGCTAAACTAAACACACATTTGTGATTTAGGAACTTCAAGGGGTCAGAGAAGTTGGTCCAAAAAGTACCTATGGCAATACAAAATAAAAAATTTAATTCAGCAAATAATTATATGTGCTCACTCAGTGACAGGCACTGTGCTAGATATTTTGGGGAATGTAATGCTGAACTATACAGACTTTGCTGTCAAAGTATATCCCATATTGCATGGGATGCATAAATAATTAGCAATAACACAAAGCAAAGTGTGGGGCTGGAATACGATTAGGGACAATCTTGCATCGAAGGAGGCGGAAGTAGCTTCAACGTGCACCAGGTTGATTAACTTCAAAGATACAACCAGCCACCAAGAGGAATTTGGAGAGGTGCAGGCTTAGATGATTTTGAGATCACTAAAGAAAAACACTTTTCTCTTCCCCTCATTCTGAGTTCAAAGCTAATCTAACAACCTATGAGTGTGCCTAGGGTTGAGGTTTTGATTCCCAGTCAAGGGCACATCCCCAGCCCTGGTTGGGGCACATGGAGGAGGGAACCAATTGATGCGTCTCTCTCATACCAATGTTTCTCTCTCACTCTCTCTCTCTCTCTCTCTCTCTCTCTCTCTCTCTCTCTCCCCCACACACACCTCCTGTTCTCCCTTCCACTCTCTCTAAAAAAATCAATGGAAAAAATATCCTCGGGTGAGGCCTAACACACACACACACACACACACAAATCATGTTGAGAAGTTTGCATTCTAATGCAATCCCAAGTGAAATTAAAACGAGTAACTAAAAATAAGCAAATAACTAAAATGAGCACCAGTGCTGCAGCCTCTGCTCCAGCGGGGCTGGGGTACAGGGCGCCCAGACTGCTTCCAGGAGAGCGCTCCTGATTGTGACATCACACCCATCCCCGTGGCGATGGAGCTAAAGACCGGGAAGGAAGACTTCAGATGGAGAAGAGCCAGCAGGCTCGGTTATGGGAAGCGTCTCCTGAGTGGCTCTGAGTGGAGGCATCGGGCTTGGAGCCTTGTGAACAGGGAAGCTGCCCCCCAACACCTGGAAGGGCCTGCTGTCAGTGAGGAGCCATGGGGTATGACGTAACCCGCTTCCAGGGGGGTGTGGACGAAGACCTGATCTGTCCTATTTGCAGCGGAGTCCTGGAGGAGCCGGTGCAGGCCCCGCGCTGCGAGCATGCCTTCTGCAACGCCTGCATCACCCAGTGGTTCTGTCAGCAGCAGACGTGTCCGGTGGACCGCAGCGTCGTGACGGCTGCCCACCTGAGCCCGGTGCCTCGGATCCTGCAGAACATGCTGTCCAAGCTGCAGATCACCTGCGACAACGCGGCCTTTGGCTGCAGTGCCGTGGTCCGGCTTGACAACCTCCGGTCTCACCTCAGCGACTGCGAGCACAACCCAAGGCGGCCTGTGGCCTGCGAGCAGGGCGACGGCCTGGAGAGGCCCAAAGACGAGCTGCCCAGCCACCGCCGCATCGCGCACCTGCGCGCACTGGTCCAGCAGCAGCAGGCGCGCATCGCCGAGCTGGAGAAGACCTCGGCCGACCACGCGCACCAGCTGGCGGAGCAGAAGCGAGCCATCCGGCAGCTGAAGGCACACCTGGCAGCAGGGCGCAGCGCCAGCCCCGACCGGCAACACCTGGAGGAGACCCGTGGGGGCAGTGAGGTCCTGCAGTGGGTGAACTCCCTGCAGCCAGCAAGAGTGACCCGCTGGGGAGGGATGATCTCCACCCCGGACGCTGCCCTCCAGGCGGTCATCGAGCGCTCCCTGGTGGAGAGTGGCTGCCCCGCCGCCATCGTCCCGGAGCTGATAGAAAACGCCCACGAGCGCAGCTGGCCCCAGGGGCTGGCCACGCTAGAGACCAGACAGATGAACCGGCGGTGCTATAAGAACTACGTGGCCAAGCGCATCCCCGGCAAGCAGGCTGTTGTGGTGATGGCCTGTGAGAACCAGCACATGGGCGACGACATGGTGCAGCAGCCCGGCCTTGTCATGATCTTCTCGCACGGCGTGGAAGAGATGTAGGTCTCGGCGGGCTGTCAGGAGCCTGTCAGGTGGGAAACCCAGATTCCCTTCTTTTGCCTGATCTCTCCCGCGACGATGTCTGTTGGGAAAGTCCCCATCCCTGTATCTATTTTCCTGCCAGGGTCTCCGGTTGCAGACATTTGCAGAAAGCACGAACACATTCACCTTCTCTAGAGGATCAGCCTGGAGGGAGAAATCTGTCCTCGTTCCCCACCTCCCAAACCAGGGACCCCGAGCAGGCAGGCCTGCTGCCTCTCAACCTTGAGGGGGCAGCTTCGGGGAGGTGGCATCCTAAAGAAATAGTGAGGGTGGGGCCCAAACCCTAGAAACTACGAGCCAATAACTGGCCATCACCGAGGTCCTTGGGGAGGACTGGGCCTCCGTGGCAAGCAACACCTTGCTGAGCCCACCTTAAGGTGCGGGCTCCCCCTGGGCCTGCAGGTGTGCGGGTTGGGATGCTGGAAATTTCCAGCTGAGCTCTTCTTTCCTACACTTCTTCATTAGGGAGAGGCAGGAGTGGGGGCAGGGGGTACGTCTGTTGGGGTGACTATGCTCAGCAAGCAGCAGCTCCCTGGCTTTTGCTGAAATCCGGTCGGCCGCTGCCTCTGTGGCACAGGCCCTAATACCTCCCTAGCCCCCTCTCTGGCGCGGTGATTGCTGTTTACAGTTCACTCCCTCCCACTTTTTAATTTTTTGAATGGCCTGGTCGTGGCTACCCCACTTTTCCAGCCCAGCCACATTGTTGGCAGTTTACTTTTTCTTTTTTTTAAGAAAGGAAAAAGAAAAAAATTAACAAAGCTTGAAACTTTTCTTTAGCCATTCCTATGATGGGGGTTCTGGACAGGGTGGGACAGGGGTGGGGTCTGTTTTATACGTTTCCTTCCCATCACAACCGCTGGCTTAATTGAGGAAGGGCCAAGGGAGCTCTGGGCTGAACTTAGTCTGCCCCAACCCTCCGTAACCCCACCGGAGACGAGGAGCTGCCTCTAGTCCCCGAGGGATGTGACAGTCCTGCACTGATGCCTGGGCCCCCCGAGAACTTTGCTCCCGGCCCCTCTGGAATAGAGCATTCATTTTGAAGGAACCACCCCCAGCCCCCATTTCCTTGGAGATTATAGCCAGGCTCTGAGCTTCACCAGGCACAGTGGGATACACATTCTGTCTTGTCTCTGAGTGAGGGCTATACCCTCTCTCACCCATGCCCCTGAAGGACCGCAGCTCCATTTCAGGCTACCCTTGACCCAGAGGTGGCTGGCAGAGTAAGACAAGGGGAGGGATAGGGGGTGTGATTATTTTATATGCAGGTGGAAGTGGGGTTAAAGAGAGATGGCCCTATAACAGCTGCTTCTCTTTATGCAGTATATTCCAGGCCAGCTCGCTGTAGGTCTGGGTAGTTGGATCACGACTCCACTGGGCCTGGCTGGCCTGACTCAGTGGTTGAGCCTTGACCTATGAGCCACGAGGTCATAGTTAGATTCCCAAGCAGGGCACATGCCTAGGTTGGAGGCTCGATCCCCAGTAGAGGGCATGCAGGAGGCAGCCGATCGATCAATGGTTCTCTCTCATCATTGACGTATTAATGTTTCTCTCTCTCTCTTCCTCTCTGAAATCAATAAAAACCCAGGCATATGTCTTTACCGGGAATTGAACCATGATCTCCTGGTTCATAGGTGGATGCTCAACCACTGAGCCATGCCGGCCGGGCAATAAAAAATATATTGAAAAAAGACTCCACTGGGAGGGAGACAGCTTGAAGGGTGTAGGGAGCAGTCATATGTTCCAGCTCCAGGGCCCTGAGCTCAGGAATTTGAAAACGTTGCTATACTTGGTCTGGTTACTACGTTTCTCCCGCTCCCTGTGGCCCCGCCTGCCTTATCCGGGCCCAGTCCCGCCTGTCCGCATCCTCAGACGAGCCAGGAAGCTCAGCTCAGGCTCCCCGCTTCCACCAGAGGCTCTGCAGGTTACAGGTTGCAGGTTGTTATCGGTGCTGCTCCATGGTGCTGACTGCACTAATAATAAAGCTTCCTCTCAACTCTCTAAATTCTTAATTCAGTGTCACTCCCCTTCTAGTGAAGGTGTCTCCTCTGCTCTGACCTTTTTCTCACCTTCATTCCCCCTCCTCCTTCCTCACTCTGTCACCTACCCACGTCTTAAGAGCGAGCCATGGTTTTAGGAGGCAGTCTGCCTGGGGTTATGGGCACCTCACATCTTCTGTGCCCTCTGTGCCCTCCTCCACCCTTCCCTCCTGCCTCCTGCCCTGCAGCAGCCAACACTCGCTCTCCAGTGATCTGAGTTTTGTTTTTTTCCAGAGTCTGCCTCTGCCTCAAATTCCACATCTTGTGCTCCTGGGGTCCGGCAACACTTTCCACAGAAGATATGCATGCGCCTCTCTCCCGTGTTCCATCTTTGCTTTGGAATCTGGGATTCCCTCGTAGGCAGGGCAGCCCCACCCCACCCCCAGGTCTCCTAACCCAGGAAGCAAATGTGAGGGACACCTGGACCCACCGACTACCTGCTGTGCTTGTCAAACCTCGACACACCCTTTCGTAGGCACTTGCTGCCACCTCTTCCCTGTCATGAGAAAAAGAATATATTCTTTTCCCTGAATAATAAATATATATTTTAAAACCTCTGCCCTGCGGGTGTGGCTCAATGGTTGAACGTCGACCTATGAGCAAGGAGGTCACAGTTTGACTCTTGGTCAGGGCACATGCCCAGGTTGTGGGCTGGCTTGATGCCCAGTAGGGGACGTGCAGGAGGCAGTCGATCAATGATTCTCTCTCATCGTTGATGTTTCTCTCTCTCTCTCCCTCTTCCTTCCTCTCTGAAATCAATAACAATTTTTAAAAATTAAAAAACCCTTTTATTAGCAAAGAAATGGAAATTAAGGTAATTGAATAATATTTTAACTTTTTATTGATTGGTTGATTTTAGAGAGAGAGAGAGGAAGGGAGAAAGAGAAACATTGATCTGTTGTTCTATCTATTTATGCATTCATTGGGTAATTCTTATGTGTGATCAAACCCATGCCTTGGCATATCGCGATGATGCTCTAACCAACTGAGCTACCCAGCCAGGCATATTTTAACTTATTCAATTACCAAATATTTTTTCCAGTTATATTTTTTGCTGCTGAGAGAATGAAGAGGGAGTTTCTTACCCGCTGTTGATAATAGCAATCCTTCTGCAAAGCTCTTTGGCAAAATTCAAAAAAGCTTATGTCCCTTTATCCCTTCCGTTTTACTTCTGGGATGTTATTTTCAGGAAATGATGAGACATACATTTTTAAAATAATGTAAAAAGATGTTTCTCATCATTATTTATAACAATACATAATTTTAAATAATCTAGGTTGCAAAAATAGGAACATAATTAAATAACTGATTATGTTTCCATATGATGAAATGCTGTAGAGTACTAAAAATAACTTTACAAAGACATTTAGGATTTTAATGGCACAGGTTATAAAGATAACGGTTGTTTGTAATACATGTTTATGTATGTAACCTATGTATATGCATATGTAATCAGTATGTGTGTGTGTATGAACATCTGTTGACAGAACCAGCTGCATAATTTGTAGGGCCCAGTGCAAAATGAAACGCAGTACCTCTGGTTCAAAAATTATCCATAATGCCAAGGCAGCAGTCGCAGAGCCTCATACCAAGTGCAGGGCCCTTCTGAACGCGAGTCCTGTGTGACTGCACATGTCCCATGCCCTTGAAATTGTCCCTGACTATAGAAAAAAGACTGAAGGGATAGATCCCAAAATGTCAACAGCCATTACCTTTGGGCTTAGGGATTAATGATGACTTTTATTTTATGCATTTTACCAATTTTCACAATAGACATGTATTTTATAATCAGTGAAAAAATAGTATGTCTTTAAAAAAAACTAATACTGAAGGCAGCACTACAGTGAATTGCATTATATTTTGGTTTTAAAGCCTTTTAAATATCCATCTTGGGCCACTGGCATAACAGATACTCTTTTTTAAAAATTGTATGTTATGTTTTTAAGTCACTGTAAAGACTATAGCAAAATATAAAAATGAAATCAGCTCTTGGCTAAGTGAAGAAAGCAAGCCAAGCTGAACCACAAATACCATATTTCCATCTATTTTTGTCCCATGTAGAATTAGCTTTGGTTGGACCCTGAACATTTGCTTGAATGGCGCAACGCTAAAAATTTCTCCTCTGGTCTCCTCAGACTTACATTCATACACTTGACAGGCCGCACCAGCACAGGGAAGGAAGACCTGCAGGAGGCCGATTGCATCCTAAGCATTGACCAGTTCAAGGAAGGATTCAGCAATACTCTCTTTTCCCCCTCTAAATTGAAGAAAGGTTGCATCTGGAAGACAACAAAAGACCCCTTTAATGTGAGAGCATTGAGTCAAAAAATTATACAGCGGGTATTTGCAATGCATTCTCTTAGAAGTTACACAGAGAAGCCTCAAGCTGAGCGATTAATGACTTATAACGCGTCATTTTGGCACTAATGGAGTACAAGAGCCAAGGCAAATCACTCGGTCCTTTTAGTGCCCTCGCAGACAACCTGTCTACCTACAAAGGGTTGCCCCTGCAGACCCCTTTGGTGCAGACTTCATGTTCTGGTGTATTCTCTGCTGCACTGCACACTCAATTACCCCCTCCCCGTCCCCCCACACAGCAAAGAGGAGACTCACACTAATTTTTGTGTCTAGACTGTAAATGTGCACACATTTAAATTTTACTTGTTCAGCAATTACTTGTTAATTTAACAAATATCATGGCAGCGCCTACTATTTGCCAGGGACTGTGCTAGCTGTTCCTGGGGGTAAGCACCCAGCAATGTAAACCTGGTCCCTGTCCTGCTGGGGCCCATAGTTTAAAAGCTTGCAGTTTACTTTTAAGGATAAGACCCAAAACAAGTTATGAACAAATAATAGCAAATAAAAGTACTATAAGATTTTTTTTTTTTTTTTTTTTGGTTAAAACAAAAGCAAAATTTTTAGTCA